TTTATATTTTGAAATTTTATAATTGGGTGTTAAAATCTACTAGGCTTAAAAATAGAATTAAAATAAACTGAAAGTAAAAGTATAATAAAGCACTAAGTTTTTGAATTTTTACTGATTTAGTACAGAAATCCAATCATTCTTCCACTACTCATCTCTTGAAACCACCCTGCAAGCTTAGTAAAAAATTTCCCTTCGTTGCCATTTATTTAGGGAAATCACTTTATATTATTTCATGTCTGTACTCTATTCTATAAATTTTCTTTCTCTGGAATTCACATGAGAAAGAATGCAGACTTTCTGGATACCTTCATGTGTATTAACTTTTCTTTCATACTTTTTAAAAAAATTTTGTAGAGACAGGGTCTTGCCTGAGCTAGTCTCAAATTCCTAGTCTCAAGTGATCCTCCTGCCTCTGCCTCCCTGAAAGGGGCAGCTTTAGTGAAATAAGAGGAAACTATTTAAATCCACAGTTTTCTAATAACAGCCAACATCAATCATGAGATCTCCCAGCTCTTTCTCTCTCTAGCTAGCAGGCACCCTGCAGGGACTCTGTCTTCACAAACATCTGAAAGGAGCCCAACAGACAAATAGGAAATGTAAATCTTTCTCCTTACATTCACCAGCTCACAGTCTTTAGAATTCCTTTCTATAGCCTCAAGGTATTCCTGAGAAGCTCCTGAACAGACATCACAGGAGGAAACTCCAGGCCTTTGGTTTCCTGCCCCAAACCATATCTCAGGGGCAAAATCACATCCCCTGAAGTAAGCCTGACTATATTTCAAAGATAACCAAGACTCCAGGTGTTGGAGATAGGCTAGAGACAAGAAAGGTTTCAGGAATTTTCCAGGGCTCTGCCTTGAAGGAATGTGTTGGTGTGTTAGTTTACAGATTGAAAGTTGCTCCCAACAATAAAGGCGATGTCAGAGGACATTTGCAAGCAAGTGTTTCTTCAATGCTGCAGGCCATCACCTTGAGCTTTTTTGCACAGCAAAAGCTCAGTTTGGGTCCTGGCTGAGAAGCTGATTAAAATGCCTGCCCAGCAGATAACATGCAGCTGGAACTATCTTAAACTTCAAGGCTCTTCCTGCTTCACTCCTGACCACATGTCTCTGTATTTAGATAAATAGATAGATTAGTATACAGACTCAGTGTTCCTACTTACACATTTTTATGTTTAATTTGTATGCTCAGCTAAATCTGTTTCTAACTTAGGGCTTAACATGTTTATCTTAGAAAAATTTTGCAACTGTCTCTTCTTGTAGACAGATTTAGATAAGTGTCCTTTGAAACCTTTGGGAGCCTAGAAACCTCAACAAATGAGCTGCACACTTAATTTTTTAACCAAGGACAACTATTTGCTGTAACAATATATACTGATGAGGGATTTCACTTGGTGCCTCACAGCTCAAAAGAATGCTAGAGGACTCCTGACTCCCTTGTCACTTTAAACTGCACTTTGTCTCTGTTATTTCTTTGTCTCTATCATTTCTAAGTCTCTTCCAACGATCCTGCCTGGGACCTATTTTGCTGGGAGAGTAGCTAACTCTCTGCATCCAGGAACAGAGAAAACTGGAAAGACAGACAACTTGACTTCTTGCAACTGCCTATTATTTACTCTACAGACACTTCTGTTTCAACTGACAACAATAACTGTTATTTTTATTCTCTTTGTCCTCATAAAATCAACAAGCCAATTGGCCTCCCTGCTGGTATCTCCTTCTATATCTTTTGGATGCCATACCACTTCCCTGCTCTACCTCTCTTTCTTCTCTCTCTCACTCCCTCATTCTCTCTCTCCTCTAAGAAGATAAACATTTTTAACTTTTATGTATCCTAATCTCTGCATGAGAAATCTTTGTCCACCCATGCCATGAAAACCTACTAGGCTTTCTAGCCTAACACTCCCAAAGTACTAGGATTATGTGCATGAGCAACTGCAGCTGACTTTTCATAATTTTTATCTACTGTTTATCTATCATTTCCTTTTATTTTGGAAGAATTCCCCACTTCTCAGTTTCATTTTCGTTGTTCACTTACTATCCAGTGACTTCTATTCATCTCATTAATCCACATGCAAGATATTTATATAATCAATAGAGACTTAACACTAAAGCTTCCATAGTGAAGAAATGATGAGAAAGGGTATAACAATGTGGTCATAGCATAGCCTCCCAGTTCAACAATGGGATGGAAATTTCTGCAATCAGAGATTGCAGCTTCCCAAGCAAAGGAGACTGGAGGTTACAGAAATCACTGAAGTGTTATTATCGAAACCACACCCATTATTGATACTGTCGAATACTAAGTCCACACCCCTCATGTGTATGAGTACATGACCACAGAGCTTTTTCATCTACAGGCTTTGTCTGCATAGCAAAATGTCCCTCAGTCATTCCTACGCTGTCATGCACTGACTTATTTAAAGGGTTTCTCCTCTTTGGCTATGACAAATGGAAACTTTGGCAAAAGTTCAAGAATTGAGACCTCAGGTGTTTAGATGAGTTGAGACAAAATCAAATATAAAGTAAGGGAGTAAAGCCCATCCTCATTCCTTATTTAAAAAAGGTTTTCCCTTCAATGCCAAAGGCTTTGGAAACATGTAAACAATGTAATTTCAAATACTGAGAGAAAAGGGATGGGCAGTGGAGCTATTTTCCCAAGATGCTCATAGAAGCACCTCTAGGAAAGAATCACCATAGGAAAAGTGGCCCTAGCCCACTGCACCCTTCTTTATTCTCCTTCCAACCTTCGTTGTTCTTCATTTCACCTATTACTGCCTCAAATTATAGAACTTACTTGTTGACTTTGTTACTGTATTTCTCCTGTGGCAATGTAAGCTTGATGAGGACAAACTTTGGCTTGGGTAACACTGTATTCTCAGTTTACTGCATGCCACTTGACACATGGTGACTTCTGAATCAACATTCATTAAATGAAATATTCCATTGGTTCCCACAGATTGGTAAGCATAGTCTGGAACTGATTTTCCTCATCCCATGTTCTAGACTTCAAAACTTTTTATAGTTTTCTTATAAAATATATTTCATGGTTTCAGAAAATTTACTGAGATGTAGTTCTTTATAAATCAAAATACTTACAAATTCAACTTATTGCCTTCAGATTTCCCAGCACAAGGTAGTGACAATACAACTCTCCAATTTTGGCTCCAGCTCAAAATTTGCTAATGTTCATGTCCTTCCATAAAAATGGTAGTCATCAAACATAATTCCAATAACATAACTATAAAGTTACAATAATGATGTTCAAATTTATTCCTCATTTCAGGAACTAGGGGCAGTTAGCCCGACTGTGGACTTAGACCTGAAACAAATGGTCCTCCTCTGAGAACTCACCAGGTTGCATCTCACTTGTATAAGCAGACACTAGAAGAATGGACATAAACCACTCTCTCATAAATAGTACAGAATATTTGTACTTATCTGTTTTCAAAATTCCAGGCTTAATCTGGTTCATGCTAATTATCTAATAATAGGAGTCCCTGCTAAAGCCTACATACCAGTAATGCCAGTTTCAAGTAACAGCAGTTGACCAGCTACTCACACCTTTGAAACCCAAACTTGCCAAAGTCATAGACTCTTGCAGGTGTGGAAAAGAGCCCTGAGAAGTAGGACACACATGGGACAGAATGCCATGATGCCCTAGGACTGTGGAATATAGGCATTTTCATATGCTAGAAATGTTTTAAAGTTAATCCATTATTCAAGATAAACCTTTAGGCACCCCCATGTTCTCCTTTCATATTTATGTAATAAGATCAGTGTGTCTACTTCTGGAACCCAAAGAATCCACTCACCTGCCTCTTCAGTGTCACTGTGACATGCATCAGACTGGGCAGTCTTCTGGACTTGTCAATGTTTCTGGAATGACAGGGAGCCTCCAGGATTCAGTTGTCCATGTCTCAGCTACAGATGCCCATGAGGCTGCTTCCATTTCTCCATATCTGGGACATCCCTCAAGGATTCCTGCAGTCCACCTTCCTTTTCTATCACAGCAGAGACTGGCCTTTCTGACTAGCATTGTACTATATTAGCTGTCTACATGCTTCCATTTCTAGATTCACAAAATGTGACAGCCAAGAGTATAAATGATTCATTCTGTTCAATTATTTTAGAGAGAAAGACATGTTGATTACTACAGACATCAGGGTGGTTATGGCAGAGCCAGAAGAAACAAGAGTTTTAACTCTCCACTAGGGAATGCCTAGACCACAGACTAGGTAAGGGTCCTGACTTCTTACCCAGGTACTCCATAAAAGCCTTTTCTGCATTTTAACCCTTGGCCCGCTTTAACAGAATGGATGGCATGGTGGCCATGTTATGGTGTGTGGTGACTTTTTATTCTTACAGATAACACTACAATTCTCCTTTCCAGGTCTCAAATGGCTTTGCAACCACATGTCCTGGGGATCATTCTTTTTTGGGATCATCCTTTTATCTTCTCTGAAAGATCACATACCTTAGGAGGATTCTCCTGGCCTATTTTTCCTAGGGAGAACTCAGGTGCTACAGAGAGAACTGTCACACAAAAAGGATTTTCTGTATCCGCCAGCTTCTTCTGCATGATGTAGGGGTATGGTATAGTTAAATAACAAAAACAAAGATTTGAGACATATGCACCAAGGAACATGTATTCATTTATTTCTCACTGTAGCAACAAGACAAACAGTGTAACTCCATGTTCAACATGTTATGGATGGCACCAAGCCCAGGAACATTGAGGGTATCTATAGGGCAAGTAAAACAAATATTTTTTATAGTATGGGTATCAAACTGTATATGACCTGGAAAAACTCCCTCTAGCCCTTGAATAATATGTTATGTATGATGTGGAAAATGAACTTATCACCCAACGTATTTTCAGAGCTAAAAATAAAACATTTAAATTCAAATAATTCAATAAAACTGGAAATACAAACACTACACTGAGAGTTACCCTTAGCCAGTTCTCCAAACAAAAGATGAAGAAACAAAACCACGAACAACAGTACAAAAAAGAAAAGGTTTATCTAGGAAAACTGGATGACCATTCAAATCACATCTCTTCTTCTGATTCTTCTGCAACACTTTTTAGGAGTCCCACTTCGGAGGGGCAGAAACTCTTAAGTTTAGACTTAACCAACCTGAGGAAAAAGAAAAGCATCCCTAATTAGCTGGTGTTTAAAATAGAAACACAGAGCAATATGCATCTGTAATACAACCACCTCCAGATTATTGAGATTGTTTGGGCAAATGAGGGGAGGAACTTAAAAAGAATAATCACTTTTATTTGGCTTTGGAGCCAACTGAAATTTTTCTGGATGAAAGCAGGGTATCACTAAACAGATACATGGTGGTTTTTTGCATACATTGCATAATTGTTTAGTTAGACATCACAAGATAACTTTAATCATTTCTGAAACAAAATCAAGTCCAGATGAAACCAAGCTCAATCTTCTCCATCAAAGCCACACCTGGCTGTGTATTGCAAAAAGGTGCTCTTTCCTATAAAGGAAGTACATGAAGTCCTCTCCTTCCCTAGGGTTGGCAGCCCAAGTCTAGCCCCATGTCAAGTCTGGGCTAAACCTCAACTCCCTGCTAGCCTCTTCAGTGGATACTTTTGTACAGAGCACAGGATGTTCCACTGCATGTGATTGGCCCTGTCCATGATAAATTAAAAGTTAAAAGAGGTTAACTCTACCCTTGTGACTATTTTCATAGCTGAAAAGAATGTGTAGGTTGGAGGGAAGCAGCAGTTATAATTTTGAAATTGGAAAGTGTGAAACTTCTTAGTAGCAGAAGTTCATTAAGTGCTCTGCTTCAATAATGTGAGAAAAAGAGTGTGCCATAAGAACTAGGCAAAGATTTTCCTATGCACGATTATTATAAACACATTACACTGTGATCATGTCAAGAAAACTTAGTTAATTTCTAGAAATACATAGGAATTTGCAAACTAACTTGATAAACCAAATCACCAATATCACACTCCTTTTATGAAAACTTCACCATCCACCTGCATCTTTACCCTTATTTTCTTTTTTTTTTTTTTTTTTTTTTAGCATCCACATTTCAGCCCTAATTTACCCTTATTTTCTAACATCCTTCTTCTGATGAAGGCTAGTCTGTCACAATCGATATGTAATGCCTTTACTAGTGCTCTGGCTCTTGCTAGAATATAAGCTTCATAAGAGCAGGAATCTCATCTTAATTACTGCCCTGACCCCCGCTTGAGTCTGGAACAATGTCTGGAAATAGTAGTAGCTTAATACTAATTTGATAAATAACCTTTGGAGCAATCTGCCAAGAGTTCATATCACTCACCTATTCATAGAGGCTAATTCTTCAGTCACTTCCAACTCAGCATTAAATTCTCCAGTAAATAACAACAACTGAGCAGTATCAGTAGCAGCTGTTGACTCAAGAACCAAGGAAAACTACTGGAAATCATTTGCCTTATTTTAGTTGACTCTTGGTCAACTTGGTTCCCAATGTCCTCAACAGCCAGCCACTATTTTTGTGAAAGGCTAATACTCTTAAACAAGTTAAAGGCAGGGCAGTGTTTGCATCATTTTCTTAAAACCACACATTATTTTCACATTGTACAACTTTAATATATGCTCAATGAAATGGATTAATTGATTAGTTTCATTCCTGATGACTCTCATGGAAAATAAAGACATGGCTGCTTATTACAATTTAATTTTTAACATAGACCCTAGTGACTCTTCCTGTCCCTCATTTCTCCTCTCTGGGTTGTATGTGCTGTTGCTATAAGCCACCAAGCTGGGACATGTTCAGGCACCTTTGCCAGTATCTTCCACCTTTAGCTATAGGTATGTACACATGCAGAAATGACTACCTGGGGCAGATTGACCACTTGGGTAAAAATGTGGATGTGCAAATAATTGCCATTTACTAGAATGGCAGAAATCCAGGAAACTAGTGTCAGAGTATGTCTATGCTTTTACTCCCATATGTTCTCAATTAGTATGAGGAAGTGCATAACTGAGATAATAAGTGTACTTCCATGAAACCAGCACATGCCTGAAATTTGGACATCCCTATTTTGTTCTTCAAAATTATTCACATGATTTATTGCTTAGAAAACCAAGCTGCAATTGGGTAGTATTTCCCTACTTGTATAGAGAGGTTTTTGAAATAATTCTGTGCAACAATGGGGTTTACATGAGAGATATAGTAAAATATGCAATAAGATTTCCAAACAGTTCTCACCTATGAGCTATCATAATCAAGGCTGCAGGCATGGAATTGGATGAAGCAATCCTAAACCATTATTCTGGAAGGATGGGAAGCACAGCTTAATTTTTCAGAGTTCCTTAATCCAGCTGTGCTTCCAGGGTGATCTCTGTGCTATGTCAAACAAATGCTGAGATAATATTCTGACAATACATCACTTGTGGATAAGTTGCAAACCACTCTGCAGTGAAATCCTCACCAACAGATTCTTCAAGGCACCTTATGATTACAGGACTGGATCAGCCTGCCATGTGATCTCATCAAAGACAGTGCTGAATCTCCATGATATTTTTGTGCTTTTGCTTAAGTTTGTATTAAAATATGTCCAAAAACTTGAACTCTTGGTCTTATCGTTCCAAGAGTTTGCAATATGAGAGCAAAATGGAAAAGCATACAAAACATGATTCCCTAACAAAGAAGCCTATATTTATGTAGGCTACATAGGTCTTTTAAAACGGCAAACAAATGTTTATTGAGAACCTACTATATGTTTGGCAGTGTTCCAAAAGGTGTGAGACAGATGAAAAGGGTCTTTTTCTCAATGAAACACAATCTAGCCAGCAGATAAGACTAAGACACATGAGGTGACAGTAAATATCATGAAAGAGATCACAATTGTTAAAATATATGTTGTAGACTAAGTGCTATAAAATGTCTTGAAGGGAAATGAGCAAGGGCTCCAAAAATCTTGGAAGGTTTCATAGAAATGTGCATTTAATGTGGACATGTCATGTAGAGAGAACGGTGTGGTCAAAAAGATGAGAGTACACATAGGGGTAGGGAGGATAAAAAATAAGAAACAGAGCTTCCAGTATTTGGAGAACTCTAAGTGGATAGGAGGTTATTAGGGGTCAGAAGGTTTTTGAAACAGGAAGGGACAGTAGTCTTGTTTGGGCCCCGGAGGGGAGCTGACATGAAGTAGAGCATTTCCTTGAATGCTGGCACTGTTCTTGGAGGCTGCCCAGCCCCTAAGTAGATGATGCTAAGATATCAACCTAGAACAACAGGGAAGAAGCCAAGTTTCACACAATTGCAGAGCCAACCTTGTCAATGAGTTCATGCACATGCTTTCAAGGAATGGAACAGGACTCATAGAAATCAGTCAGTGAGAAGGAAAAATTTCCTAGCACCCAAAGCACTTGGACCTCTAGAAGGAAACTACAAATCAAAGTGGGCTGACCCAAAGCCAAACAGAGACAAGGAAGGAGTTTCTTCACTCAGGGCCTCAGCACCAGAGCTGCCTTAGCAAGTAAGCACAAAGCAGGAGGGCCCATGTCTGGAGAGAAGAGTGGAAAGTTGGCACCCACAGAGGCTGGGACCCCACTGGGCCTAGAAGCAGACACTGCATTTCAGGAATCTAAAGAACCTGTCAGTGGGTAGTATCCAATATAGTAGCCAGTATTCACATATGGATATTTAAATTAATTAAAATAAATGTGGCACTAGCTGCATTTTAATTGCTTAATAGCTAGTGGCTACCATATTGAACACTGTAAATACAGAACATGCAAGCATAGAACTATTGCTCAGCACAAAGTCAGAAGAATTAGGCAGTAGTAATTGGGATCAGCCAAGGCCACTGTGGTTTAGCATTACCCCCTTCTAGAGAGAGGAACTGTGACCACCCCTTACTATTCCTGCTCATTCTTCCAACTGCAGTCCAAGTTGGGGACCTACATTATACTTTCCTGGTTTAAGAATTAAATTTAGTGAGTAATGTACATGCCCTGCCCATAATGTTTAAGAGTAATGTTCTCCGGACAAGGTTGCTAGAGGCATAACAATAGGCCTGAGTTTCTGCATTGAGGCAAGAGCTACCCAGCCTCAGGATAAGTGGAGGCCTGGAGGCTACACAATAAGCACATTGTTCCTACGATTGCTGCTTGGACCTTGGACCTGCTGGATAGTCAAAGACGGGTAAGATTCCTCAAGGAGGAATAACCTAAGACAGACACAGCTGCTGGGGGCCAGCCAGGAGGAACTGGCAACAGAAAGTGCCCCTTGTGGCTGCCTTGCTTAACCTTTGCTTATCTCAGCCTGTGAACTATGCCTGGCGCCTCAAGCAACTGCCTAGAAACCTTGACTTAGGGGACATCTGTGTCCTTAGGCTATGAGTTCCAGAATGTATGGCCATTGCTGCAGTGCCTGGGTGGTCACGTACAAGGAAGTAACTTCGATTTTTTAGGGTATAAAAATAAAGCAACTGGTGCGTTGGGCACTGCAGTCTTGTACCATCTTTGTGTGTGTCTATGTCTTTCTTTTTCTGTCTCTTTGTTCTGTGTTCATCCCCCGTCCTGCAAATGGGCCACAGCACTGCAGCTTCATTTTCAGTTGTGAGGACACCTCCTCTGAGCTCCAATAGTGACTTTATTCTCCTACTATATCCATTTATTGCACTATATTTTGACTGTCTGTCTCTCTAATTTAGTCCTAATCATAGGAATAAAAATTCCTCATGCTCAGATTCTATACTTCATTCATTTTTGATATCATAATATGCTGAAATAAAAAACATGGAAAATAAAGAACAAGAGCAATAAAAATAGAAAGACAATAATATTTATTGAGCTCTCAGTATGTCCTAAGTAGTTTAAATACATGATCTCCTTTAGGTACTATTATTTCTTCTATTAGACAAAAACAAAATTGAAATTTAATGTGTTTAAGTAAATGGTCCAAAGTCATTCAGCTGATAGACAGTGGAGCTAGGAATATATGTTCTTATCAATCTATCATTCTGCTCCTCACCCACTCATGAAACATTATACTGGGGTCCTTGTAAAAAATGTATTACTCAACTGACTGTTACTTTTAAACATATTAGAGTCAATGCCAACTTAATCAGGCACTCAAATTCAGTGAGACACATGCATGTTGGTCAAAAACTGACTCCAAGTTTAAGAAGTGCTATAATTGCAGGGTGTACACCTGGGGAACTGGAGGCCTCACTGCAGGCGGTGGGTGGGGAGACCATTGATAAGAGCAAGTAGCATATACAAAGAGAGAGAGACATAGAAGAGTGTGTTGACAAGTAACCCATGGGTCAAAAGAACAGCACAGATACTGTTGAGATATTCCAACATTATAAACATGTTTATCCTTTTACTGCGAATTTCTGTGTTTACAGAAAATTTTCTGTTTTGCTATCCTGTCTTGTGGAATGGTGAGGAATGAAATCCACACTTGAATTTTAAATTCAATGTTATTGAGTCTTGATAATCATATACCAAGAAACAGAATTTCCATTAACAGAAATCACTAACTTACCAGGTGACAAAAGCGTAATTCGCTCCAATGATAACAAAGTTTACTGCATAATGCCACCAAAAGCATATGGTGAGAAACATAATGTTCTCATGATCCATCAGATTCCATGCAGGAGCCCCACTGGGGGGAAACAGGACAAAACCAATCTGTAATTTAAAACAAAAAGCACATATTAAAATAACCAATCACATTCTCAAAAATGGTACCTTTCAAAGTGCTTCATTCCAAGATGAATAATAAGTACGATAACTCTCATTATCTAAGATGTTACATATAAGCATCAGGTTTTGCTGCCTGTTTGATTAATAAAGACAGTATCTACTACATCATAGTTTTGAAAAAAATTAAAGAACATTTAATAATAAATTTATAAAATATAAACAATGATCATCTCTGAGAGTGTATGGACCTTCAGAGAATGTTGTAGGTGTCTACATGTGCAGTTTCACTCTGTTATTTCAAATTTAAAGGAAAAAGATTTTAAAATACATAAATGTCCATAATTAACAGTATGTTCAATAGTGAAAGACTGAAAGCTATATGCTTTCACTATGCTATTCAACATTATCCTCGAAATCTTAGCTATAGCAATTAAGCTAAAAAATAAATAAAAGGCAACCATATTGAAAAGAAAGAAGTAAAACTACCTATATTCACAGATTACCTGGTCTTACATAGAGAAATTCCTAAAGAATCCACAAAACAATCTATTACACCTAATAAATGACTTCAGAAAAAGTTGAAGGATAAAAAATTAATACATAAAAATCAGTTGTATTTCTTTGCTCAAGCAATGAACAACCAACCCTCCCCTCCAACATTAAGAAAACAATTCCACTTACAATAGCATTGAAAAAGATAAAATACTTAGGAATAAATTTAATCAAGAATATTGGAGACTTTTACACCAAAATCTGCACAGCATTGTTGAGAGGTGTTGAAGAAAACTTTAATAAATAGAAAGCAATCTCATTTTCATCGGCTGGAAGGCTTAATATTGTTGTGATGGCAACAGCACTCAAAGCAATCTACAGATTCAATGCAATCCCTATCAAAATCCCAATTGCCTTTTTTGCAGAAATGGAAACAGCTGATTATAAAATTCACATGGAATTGTAAGGGATACAGAATAACCAAAATAAACTTGAAAAATAAAAACAAAGTTAGAGGACTCAGACTTCCTGATTGCAATACTCAGTATAAAACTACAGTAATCAAATCAGGTGGTATTGGCATAATGATAAACATATAGATCAATGAAATCAAATTGAGAGTTCAAATATAAACCCATATATGTATGGTCAACTGGTTTTTGACAAGGGTGCCAAAGCCATTCAATAGATAAAGAGTAGTCTCTCCAAGAAATGGTGCTGGCAGTTTTGTAGACATGTGTTTACTGACTACTGACTGTGTCTTTGGTCATCCTATTAAAAGAAATGGAAAATTCCTATATGTCCACTTAGGTGTTGATCTGTTAATACCAATTTGCTGGTGAGTACATGTGGTGCTTGTTTTTCCCTTCTTGAGATACTTCACTTAGTAGAATGGGTTCCAGCTCTATCCAGGAATATACAAGAGGTGTTATATCAACACCTAAGTGGACATATAGGAATAACAATTATCGGGTGTCGGGCAGGTCGGAGGGGGAGGAGGAGATGGGTATATACAAATACAACGAGTAAGATATGCAATGTTTGGGGATGGACACACTTGAAGCTCTTACTCAAGGGGGAAGGGGGGCCATGGGCAATATACGTAACTTTAACACTTGTACCCCCATAATATGCTAAAATAAAAAAAAATTTTTAATGGAAAATTAAAGCACGACAATAAAACTGTTTAAAAAATAAACAAATTGTCCTGGGAAAACAGGATACTCATGTGAAAAAATGAATTTATTTAGACGCCTACCTCATGTTCTATATAAAATTAACTCAAAATGGATCACAGACCTAAATATGAAAACTAAAATCATGTAACTCCTAGAAGAAAACATAGGGAGAAAGCTTTATGAGCTGGGATTTGGTGGTGGTTTCTTAGCTATAACAACAAAAGCATAATCAACCAAAATGAAAACAGATAAATGGGACTTCACCAAAATTAAAACCTTTGGTGCTTCAAAGGACAATGTCAAGAAAAGATAACTCATAGCAAGTAAGAAAACTATTTGTAAATCATATATCTGATATGGGATTAATATCTAGAATTTATAAACAATTCCTAAAACTCAACAAAAAATTTTTAAACAGGCAAAGGAGCTCAAGAAATATTTCCCCAAAGAAAGTATGTAAATTTTCAATAAGCACATGAAAAGATGATCAACGTCATTAGCCATTAAGGAAATGCAAATCAAAACCACAATGATACCAGTTTGTATCCTCTAGAAGAGCAATAACAATAAAAAATTGCATATGTTGGCAAGGATATGGAGAAATTGGAATCCTTGTACATTGCTGATGGTGTGAAATGGTGCAGCCACTGTTTTACACATTGGAAAATAATTTGGCAATTCCTCAGAAAGTTAAATGTAGAATTACTGTATGACCTGCTAACTGCACTCCTAGGTATACACCCAAAAGAATTGAAAATAGGCATTCATACAAAAACTGGAACACAGAAATTTATAGCAGCACTATTCTTAACAAGCAAAAGATGAAAATACCCCAAATATCTATCAACAGATGATAGATAAGCAAAGGTGGTATATCCATACAATGGAATATTACTCAACCACAAAAAGGAACAGAGTCCCTTGCATGCTACAACATGTATGAAACTTGAAAATATATTTGAAATAAGTGAGAGAAGCCAGACACAAAAGTTCACATATGGTATGACTCTGCTTACATAAAATATTCAGAATAAATAAATATTCAGGGACAGAAAACAGATTAGTGATTTCCAGGTGCTAGGAAGAAAGACAAAAGGACAGTGACTGCTTAATGAGTCCAAGGTTTCCTTTGGGATGATAAAAATGTTTTGGAACTAGATAGAAGTGTTGGGTACACAACAGTGTGAATATACTAAATACTACTAAATTGTTTGCTTTAAAAGGGTGAATGTTATGTTACGTAAATTTTATCCCAATAAAAAATCATTAAAAGTAGACAGATAAATAAATGTATTTATTTTAGGTCTCTTAACTAAATGAGATTCAAAACCAAGATTTTATTATGGATAATTGTACAAATGTCTACCATATATTGGTTGACTAGGGCAGTTACAGTGCTTAGAAGTTTCCTTACAAAGGCCCCTCAGAGATGTATTGTTACCCTCATTTTAATGTATTATTATCCTCATTATCCAGATAAGAAAATTGGGTGGTTTAGTGACTTGTCCATGATCACACATCTAATGACTGAAATCTTACAGGAAAAAAAGCACTTAGTCTATAACATTGAGTGAAACATTAATTCCATTTTGTTTGAAATGTCAAAGAATCTGAATAAATCAAGGAAAATTTGTGCCTTCCTTGATCAAGGAAGATTTGTGTCTTAGTCATGTGTTCCCATGTTTGAATTCCCTTTCTTTGGAAAGAGAATTACCCTGTGCACCATCTGACATGTACCACCATGTGCCAGTCACTTCATCCTCACTGGTGCATATAAACTTCACAACGATCCTTAGTCTTCAAACAATCTCAGGAAGAAAACATCGTTATCCCTTATTACACAGGGGAAGACTGGAACTCAGAAACTGCAGTAACTTCCCCAGTGTTACAAAATGTCAGGATGAATAAAGGAGGATTCTAATCCAGGAGTGTCTGGCTCCAGAAACTTTTTGTTCTTTCTTCTACTCTACAATCTCTTTCACCACAGAGCCTTTGTATATGGGGCAACATGAAGATAGTGTCCTCGATGACAAGGTCAGTTTGAGTCATCTTAGCAGCTCTGATATGGTTTGAACAATCTGTTACTGAGGTAGAAGTCATTCCCATTAAGACATGGTACTATGTTACCCTCAAAATACACATTAGAGATTAGCAGCCCCAGAACCACATCTGATTGTCTGCCCTGCATGTTTTAAGAATAATTTGAATTAGTTGCCAACATTTTTAAAAAATCACGGAAAATTGGACAAAAGTTTTTATTCTCAAAATTTTGTAAAAATAGAACTATCTGGCAAGATTAGGCCTGTATTCCCAGGTGGCAAACATGAGTGGAAGCATGCACTCTATATTAACTCTGCAAAACTTCCTGACCAAGTGAAGTAATGTTGACCAAGGTTTTCTACTTTTGTCTGGCCCTGTGTATTTTATTCATGAACCAATGCCAGAATCATAATTTTTCCTAAAATATCATATTAGTTGAAACTAATATGGGGTACTTTATAATACATTCTTCCTGTCCTTCTCTACATTCCCAAAGACAGAATGTATTTGTTGTCTATTTTAGAGACAGGAAAATTAAATAATGCATGGCCCTGGCCACTGCATCCCCAACAGTTGCAAAGATCTCTGTATCACTGCTGTTGTGCCTCACCCATCAAGGGCTGGGGCCTCTGTCTTTAACACAGCTACATTCTAAAGGGATGACATGTCAACACCTCTGGCAGAAGACACATCTGTCATTAAGTTAAAGAGTCTGCTTAGAAACTGCAGACAGAGAATGCCACCCAGCTGGTTTGCCCACTGCACTGGATATGTGAGTGTCTTGCAATAAGCCTTTGTATACTGCTAGGAAAGCTCACTGTGGAGGGCAACTGGTCAGAGCCCAGGTCTCTGAAGCCCCAGAAGCATGCAAAATTTTCTGAGTCTTCTGCGCTCACTCTTTGAATGACAAGAATGAAACTCAAGTCACATAGTCAACTCCAGTTTCAAGGCCTTAGCTGTTTCAGCTGGGGTGTCAGGACCACAAGATAGTCCTTCTCACATCCTCCTCTCACAGCAAATTCATGGAAGTTGACAGAGAAATTCTGTGTCAAGAAAGGGCACTTCGAGGTGTGGCTGAGTATAAAAAACTATGGACAGCTCCCCTGTTCCCATCTATCAGTCCTGCCATGTTCCTCCAATGCCATCCGCACTATCTATCCACCTCTGCACAGGAAGTGATGTGCCCCAAGCTGCCAGAGGTAAGGGTTAGAAGTTGCAGGGGAGTAAACTGTGTCCTCCCACATGTTGAAGTCCTAACTCTCAGTACCTCTGAAT